GGACTCGAACCCATCACATCCGGATTACGATGCACGTTTACAACCACTGAGAAATACCCAGAAGCAAGCATTAACCTCATTAACATGGGTTCCATGACGCTATGAGGCTTCAAGGAGTAGAGAAAATATAGAAAAAGAATGATGTATGGTAAAAATGGAGATTTGGCCTTCGCGATATATCTACTTGCCTCCTTATACATATATTTTCTAATATATGGATGGCAGAAGAAATACTTGGAGGTATGCCAAATGTTTTTTAATCGAATCAAGATGAATGTGGGAAACAACAAATATATTGCCAAACACTGTGCACAATACTTCTAACTAACAATATTGCCCGAAAACTATATGGTGCAGCGGCTAAACGCTTGGCTGCAGATCGAAAGGTTGTGGGTTCAGCTTCTGAAAGATCCGGACTTTATTCAGCAAACGACATTGGCTTCTAGATCGACACAGCCTTAAATTGTACCAGGTACAGTCTTAGGAAGTAAAGACGTTCGGCGTGATGTTGATCACATCACCCACCCAGTGCCGATTGGTCTGTAGAACATAAGTCTCATCCTATGTGTCCCATTCGCCCGAAGGCTTATTTCTACAATAACTGAAAAGTGATAAAGCAATTGATTCTTTTTTTCATTTATTTATAATGCCTTCACAGTAACATATTATAATTCACAAACGTCTTATATTTGTAATGCTTGTTATCATAATATAATAAGTACATTTCTTTCATTTGCAATGGTGTACTAGTATCACGATGATTACATTTGTTTTACATTTGCAGGGACAATGGCATCTAGAGGCGGAGCTCTGCGCCAACATCAGATGGTCAGCAATCAGGCACTATCTTTCATTTTCCCCCTTTTCTGTTTAGGTATTTTTCTAATTAGTATCACAGCGTAGAAAAGCGAACAATTAAGAGAAGTGCCTAGATAACCGCAACAGTTATAACAGAAACAAAATGACAGATTGTCATTCACATAAAGAGAAATATTCTTAATGTTAGAAAATCAGCCAGTACCAAAGATAACGCTAGAGACCAGTTTTAAATATCGCTGGAGGTTTTAATGTCGATGTCTAGGATTGGATTCTCCATGCAACCAGCACATGTAGGTGAGATACACAGTTTTTACAAACGGTCCACGTAGGTCCGAGTGGTAGATTTTCTCAGTCTTTCGAAATGCTGTCCTTTAAACGTTCAAACTGTATTTTCATTTCAATGCTTTTTTTCCCCCGCCCTCTTAGAGCGCCGTCTTATGCGGCCGCATCTCTGCATCATAGCTTGGTACGGTTAAAGGCCCACCGAAAATTACCACAACATGAAGACTCCAAACAACACTGTAAATTTGCTTCGTTAATATAAATTTCTGTAACCTATGGTGCCATTTCAATGGGTTGGAGGTGAATTAATTATGTGTTCCGTATTCCATAGTCTTCACAATACTTCTGATTTCATAGCTGTACGATATCGGAATGACATGGCCAATGACCACACCTTTTTTTTGGGGTGCCTAGTTGACCATGTATCTTAGTGCACTTGTATTCATGGCGAGGCGCAGACGCCGTCTGGGGGTGACAGGTTCAATTCCCGGCACGGTAACTATAGCTTCCGATTTTTATGTTGTCTAGTGTGTTCTTCTATCTTTCTACTTCTTTCTATGAGTGCCGTTCACAACACTTTCTGTTACTTGATTAATTCATAATACTGTAAATTCAACAATATTAGTTAATTCACAGTTCATCATTATCATACCACAACACTTCGTATCAATGGGTCACTAGCTGGTGTTGACTGTCTGATCAGCTCTCTCCACCTTTGACTGTCAGATGCGATGGATTTCACGATTGCTTGCCTAAGGCCTGTCCATTTAGTCAAATTCTGTATCCAGGTCTTACTTGGTCTGCCTCTTCTCCTCTTCCACTCTACTAGTCCTGTAGTATTGTTTCAGAAGAATTTAGATCTCATTACATGTCCGTAACACCACATTTTTCGCCCTTTCACAGTTCACTTTAGTCACAGAATAATTTTTTTATTTTAGATCCCCTTTAACGCCTTTTTGGCGCATCTGGCATATGGGAAGAGCACCCATATTTTTACAGACCATTCGGCATTAGTGGGGTAATGTGGTCAGCATTACACTTCTCCAAGAAATCCATCCTGGTACCCATTTTAGGCTGGGTCGACCTGCCACAATCCATACCAAGATCAAAATCCACGCAGCCAGCAATAGATTTCGATCGCGGTACGTTAGCATTACGAGTCAGACTCGCAATGCTAAAGCCACGGACGCCGCCTTACAGGACATAATTAATGAGCAATATCTGTCCATCACGTGTACTCTAGCAACAGAGGTCTCCACAATGGAACACTAGCCAATACACTCAGTCATCTACTTTCAAGACGGACTCGAAGACACTACCAGCACACAGGCCGAAGCACTGTCTCCTCCTATGAAGACAGGATATAACAACATCGAGATATCGGTTCTTTTCTTTTACCCCCCACCCCAACTCGGAAACTCTGGAATTTCGCGGCGAGTTCCCGAAAAGGGCAATAGTATATGGATGTTAGTTTGTGACATGAAAATCAACTACCAAACCCTAACCCAAACCTCCCGCCCCCCCCCCCCCAACCATAATTTTGGACTTTACCGATAACTCCCCACGAAATCCACGAGTCCCAGAGATAGCGTGGACTAAAAGAAAAGTATCGAGATATTTTAAATTCAAAGGTGCGACAGTTGCTCACATCAGTGACGACCTCGTCTATTGGCTCGCCGGTAGACGACTTCAACGCCGGTCGGGGCAGTATTTGTGTATGTTTCCTTTGTATGTCTTTATCAACACTGCAGGAATCCTTTTCAGGGCTCTTGCTTGCGTGCAATGGCGCAAAAAACCTAGCCCTAACTATAATCTAAGGCTCCATCATCGGGATACTGGTTGAATGTGACGATTCTTTTTAGCATATCAGCAAAACGGAAAGGCAGTTGCTTTGACGAGGGTTCTGAAGTGCACCGAAATAGCAGATCAGTTTACTGCTATGGGTTCCTCCCTGCAGTCCTCTGGCACCCTTTAGGAGCACCGACCTCTGGATGAACCACATTGATACAGCCAAATGGGGCTATGTGTATATCTTACGCACACCAAGCGTGCCTTTCTCGTCAGTGTCCAGTAACCTTGACTAAATTCTGTCAACACGTTCACTCACTTCTCCGGACTTCCAAAAACTCCTTGAACAACTAATCAACTGACCACTCTTGCCCAGACAGACGTGCAAATTTCACAAAATGTGTCTTCCTCGATTTTCAGCAAGACTGCTCGTTGGAAAACGTATTTCCAGTTGATATTTACTGGTGTGGCAGCTTTCTGAGCAAGAGTGTTGAATGTTGAATGTTCAATTAGGAGTCGACATATCAGCGTTTGGAGCACTCCCATAAGCGCTCCATCGCCATCTTCAGTAGCAAGCGAAGAGTTCCAGTTCTGATGGCACCAGTGACTGTCTGATTGTACATCCGTCTCACCCTTCCCCTGAGTGTTAGTGTCTGCCAGATTTCTTGGTTACTGCTCTCAGCGCCCTTTTCCTCAGACCGTAATGATATACCTGTGCCTCCGCACTGTTCACTCGCTCCCAAAGGGCCCTCACATATCTAGCTTGTCATACATCAAATCACCACCAAGTGGTGCAGAGCTGGTCAGTCTATCTACCTGCTCATTTCCCAAAGCTGGCATAACCTGGAGAAAATATAAAAAAGACCTTAACTACCCAGGACATCTGAATTTATGCTTGCCACTCTGCACGCAGCATGCTTGTCTCTGAGCATGAGATGTCTCCTTAGCACATACTCAGTAAGCTTCACATGACTGATTTGAACTCGCTCTGGCCTCTTTCTGTCCATTCATACACATCCACGTGAACTCCGATATACCCATGTGAGTGACTCCCAAGAGAGTTTTTCGTTAAGTCAACGTCACAACACTTGGAGCGCCGCGTCTACTTTAGCTTCTTATAACTTAGCCCCAGTATAGGACGAAATTTCTTTTTGGTGATATTTCAAAGGCTCCCCCCTTCCCCCATGGCTTGAAAGGGGTCCTAAATGTTACTTAACAGCTAAACAGGGACCTGTGCCTAGGTTATTCTCATCCGAATCGCTGCACTTTGTGTCACCGGGTGTTTATCGCTAGTTGTGTGGTCTTGGTCGGGTTGAACGTCAGTCAGTCGCTTAGTAGATTTTAAAGTGTAAAAGTTGTTCAGCTATCAACCCCCCCCTTCCCCCCCCTCCCGCCCCAAATCACATTAGGACTCGATGCACAAGTAACGCGCCCAGGTATACAGTGTGTAGTACTGGTTCCAGTTCGTAATCTGTGTTATCGATGTCTTCATGTTGTTTTAATTGATAACAAGCAAACATATGTTGTTTGTTTTTGTTTTTGGAAATGCATGTGTAAGAGAAGACGAACAAACCGATAGGTTTGCTGGAGAGACTTTCGTGAAAAATGAGCGCTCAATCTATAGTCGGCTTTGTCATTATCATCTTCTTTTCTCTGACTGACTGACTGACTGACTGACTGACTGACTGACTGACTGACTGACTGACTGACTGACTGACTGACTGACTGACTGACTAACTAACTTACTAACCTGACTAAACCGAGTGACCAAGTGACTTACTGGCTGACTGACTGACTGACTGACTGACTGACTGACTGACTGACTAACTAACTAACTAACTAACCTGACTAAACCGAGTGACCAATTGACTTACTGACTGACTGACTAACTAACTAACTAACTAACTAACCAACCTGACTAAACCGAGTGATCGAGTGACTGACTGACTGATTGATTCCAGTGCATGCTTTGTCACAGGAGCCAGGCGATGAACAAATGAGCCGTGCTCCGGAAGCCCCTGTTCAAAACCCATACGCAGCCCCATATCCATCAGAGACCCAGCCGTATCCATACTATCTTCCTGCCCCATACACCTACCCACAGGGTCCCTATGGAGCACAGGTCTCTCAGTCAAATACAACAGTCATTGTCCAGACAGCCCGGTCAAGCGCAGCCTTCACCTCCCCGCAACTGGAGTTCACGTCTTTGTGAATGTGGAAAGGATTGGTCTATCTGTAAGTACGAAGTAAATTTGAGAGGGTATCAGGTGCATTCCGCGGAAGTAAAGGCGGCCAGCGTGACGCTGACCACATCACTCAAGTGCCGATTGGTCTATAAATATATAGGTCTAGCCCTATATTCACAATACGCCCAAAGGCGTGGAAATGGGACATTTACTTTACTTTTTTTTCACGAAGTCAGTAACAGTCGCAAGGATTGCTTTATTTGCAAGTGGAAATCTGTGAATGTAGCATGACTGTTCTGTTTGTAAGTATACAGTCTTTGGATCTAACAATGATTACTCTATTTGTAAGTACTTGTTCGCTTCACTGGCTGTAAACTCCGGCCAATAGTTCTGGATGTTTGTCCAGTTCCGGACTTAAGTCTCGTTCCAGAATCTGAGTGTCGCATGCAGATCTGTATCACACATCTGACTCACTTGTATGCCGACTGTTGGTTCCTTGCCTCTCAGGCAAATGTACTCAGACTTCGAAGGATGTCCCCAATTATTCCACTCCTACGTCATGCTCGTTGATGAGGCAGTGGATCTATTCTTGCCCCCCCCCCACCCCCCATAGGGCCCTGGAACCCACACGGGAGTTGATAAGTATGAAGACTATGAATGTAGCAATGATTGCTCTATTTGCAACTTTGAAGATAATGCATTTTCTTATGATTGCTTTATGTGCAAGTATGCAATTAACGAATGTAACAATAACTGGTTTATTTGTGATCAAAAAGTGTTTGGAAAAAGAAATAAATGTTTATTTTGTGAGTACAATGTCTTTCAATGTAGCCATGATTGATATTGTTACTTTTCTTCTGCTCTAGTCATCGGAAGATGGAATTACGTTGTGCCCGTTTACAACCCGGCCGCGGTATTTGCGCCTTTCGGCCGACACATCCGACTTCTGCCGGAATTTATTTTTAAGCAGAGTTCAGGATTGTTGCAGTGATTGTTCTACAGAACTTGCAAATATAAACTGTGTAGATGTTTTAATGATTGTTCTGTTTGTAAACTGAATGTTGAATTAGGAATCGACATCATAGCACTCAGGACACTTCCATACGCGTTCCGTCCCCACTTCAGCAGCAAGCGACGAGTTCTAATTCCTGTGGTACCAGTAACTGTCTGATTGTACACTGTCCTAACTTTCTCTTGAGTGTTAAGCGTCGGCTAGATCCCCTTTGGTAACTCCCCGCAGCGCCGTTCTTCTCAGACCTCAATGATCTATTTGTGCCTCCGCACTGTTCATTCACTCCCTCATAACGTAAAGCTTGCCATACATCATTCCACCACCAAGTGGTACAGAACCCGCCAGAATATTTGTATGCTCGTTTCTCAACAGATCTGCATGATCCAAAGGACGCTAACTACCCAGGAGCCCTAAAGCTTCTTCTTCTTTGCGTTCACCGGCTGTAAACTCCGGTGGAAAGTTCTGGTTGTTCGTCCACTTCTGGACTTCAGTCCTCCTATTCCAGAACCTGAGTGTTGCGTGCGCATCCGTTTGACAGATCTGATTAATTTGTATGCAGACTTTTGATTCCTTGCCTCTCAGGCAGATGCACTCCGACATTGAAGGAAGCTCCCAGTTAGTCGACTCTTACGGCCTGATTTTGGATAGGCAGTGTGTCTATTCTTGTTTTCCCTATAATAGGGCCCAGGAACCCACACGGGGAACCTCTGACGCGATGCTTGCCATTCTGCACAAAGCAAGCCTTTCTCCACCTCTTTCAACATACTCTGTGAGTCAGTTACAATTACCACATGTGTGTCCAGTAAGTCAGTCAGTAGCATGTCCTTTGCATAACCTTCTTCCCATAACAACCCTACGGAAAACTTCTCGATCACAAGCAAGATGTCCCGCGTTCGATACACTTATCTGGAGATCATCCGCCACATCCTGCACCCATCTTCTCTTTGGCCTTCCTTTCGTCCCAGGCATATACTCCTCCATTGTTGTTTTCTCTAAGCTTTCGTGACGTTTTAAGTTAAAAGAATATTCAATTGTCTGTGTTTTATCGTCTTTAAAAACCAACCTTCTTCAACGTTCAGTTCTTGAAGTATGGATGTATTTGTTCTTTTCTTTACCCATGATATTCTTAGTACCCGTCTATAACATTTATAATCAAAGCATTTATGCGCTGTTCAGCTTGTTTGGTAAGTGTCCAGGTCTCACAGGCGTATGTTGCAATGGAAAAGTTGCATGCTCATAGAAACTAATTTCTGTAGTTCTGTCTGCCCTCTCCATAATTTATTTAGTTGTTTAAGTCTCTAAAGAGCGATTGATAATATATGTGTACAGCTGATTATTTATCCAGCGGAAGGCAACAGTGATTGCCTCCACCTCCATTCTCAAACTAGACTTTGTGATATCATATGTCAGGCTATGTTGCTGTGTGCAAACCCTGAAATCCTACGTTTTTTTTTTTAAATAACGCAGTCTGCGAAACTAGCAAAGACTGTTTTATTTGCAAGCATAAACACTCTAAAGGAGGCAATGATTTTTCTGATTGTAAGTACAAAATCTGAAAGCAGCAATCACTGTTCTGCTCACCATAATGAAGACACCATCTCCGGGTGTTTAGATGGTCCAGGGTCTTTGTACACTTATCCTGCAGCAAAGCCTTGTCGCCATTTGGAGGTGACAGGTTCTATCCCCGACATGGTTACTAAGCTTGCAATTTGTTGGTTGTCTAGTGTGTCATATCTTCTTACTTCTTTCTATGAGTGCCGATTAATAACGTCTATTGTTTAATTTTTACATTGGGTCTAAGGCCTCGGTGATTTCTACGTCCGTTTATGTTAACTTTAATTACCTATAACACAATGGTGCCTGGTAATTGAATCTCTTTTTTTAATTTTAGTTACATACTAGACAAGACATCACGGTCTGACGGGTTTGGAATTGTTGTTGTATTTCTTGATCTGCCTACGCTAAATTATTTAAATTTTTATAACTTATGGTGCTACTTGAGTGGCGAATTATGTCCGTATTCTTCTTCTTCTTCGCGTTCATCATCATCATCATCAGTTCTCGTTGTGCCTAGTGGCACATGAGGCTTCAGAGAGGACTTTTCGTGCTTTCCTGTCCTGTGCAATCTTCAGTGCAGTTTTCCATGTCAAAGATGCCGCACTCAGGTCACTTTCCACCGTTCGTCTCCATGTTGTTTTTGGGCGCCCCTGTTTTCTCTTTCCCTCTGGTGTCCACGTGAGAGCTGTTTTGGCAGGTATATTAGGATCAATTCTCATAATGTGGCCAAGCCATTTCCATCTTCTCTTGGTTATCATACTGTCTAAAGTTTCTTGGTTTGTGACTTTAAGTAGTTTAGTGTTTGAGATTGTATCTGGCTAGAAAATTTTAATAATTCTACGTAGACATGTGTGGTGGAAGAGGGACAGCTTGTGTGCATCCTTTTTGGTCATTCTCCAGCATTCCGCTCCATAAAGAAGAACTGGCAAAATGATGCTCTTGTAGAGTCGGAGTTTCGTTCCTCTGCAGTAAATGTTGGATTTCCAGATTTGCCTCATCGTTCCAAAAGCAGCTCTAGCTTTGTTCAGACGTGACTGTCCTCTTCAGTCCCTCCCGGCAGGGACACCACACTGCCAAGATATGTGAAATGTTCTACATTTTCAAGAGTTTGGTTATTTATGGTCACTGGTTGTTGGTTTGAACTGCTTGTCATGATCTTAGTTTTCTTTGTATTTATTCTCAGTCTCACCATTTCTGCTGTGCTGTGTAGTCTGTTACTTTTTTCTTGCATATGTTTATGTTGATGTGATAGGAGTGCTATATCATCTGCAAAATCAAGGTCCTCAAGCATGGTGAATGGAGTCCATCGTATGCCTCTCAATGTCCTGTCTACTGTGTTCTTTAGTATCCAATCAATCACAAGGTTGAAGAGTAGAGATGACATAACACATCCATGTCTTACACCTGTCTTTACTGGGAAAGATGTATTGTAATATTTTATACTTTTTTTACTTTATAGAAGAGAGCAATTATGTTGACTATTTTTCCTGGAATTCCATAATGTCGTAAAATTTTCCATAGACTGTCTTCGCGTTCACCGGCTGTAAACTCTGGTGGAAAGCTCTAACTGTTGGTCTACTTCTCGACTCTAGTCCTGTTCCAGAACCTCAATGTTGTGTACAAACTCGTTTTACAGATGTGACACATTTGTATTCAGATTGTTGGTTCCTTCCCTCTCAGCCAGATGCATTCCGCATTCGAAGGAAGCTCACAGTCAGTCGACACGACATGCTTTTGTGTAGGCAGTGGGTCTATTCTTGCTGGGGCGTGGAACACCACACAGGGAGACAGTATTTTATAGTTGTGGGTTCAAGCTGTACGACAGACATGGCGAAGAACGAGACTTTTCTAGGGCGTCTTGTTGATCGTGTCTCTTAGTGCCTTTGTCCTGCAGCAAAGCGTTGCCATTTGGAGGCTACAGACTCGATCAACTGTATGGCAATTATATCTTTCTACCTTTCCACGTTCTACATCTTTCTATGAGTTTCTACATGTCTATGTGTTTTTAATATTCGCTTGCTATCTGAAGGTTGCTTTGTAATTAAAATGCACCTGCTTATATACATCCCGTAAGTATTTTATTGGGGTAGGTGTCATTTGATCACGTTTAGTGTAATATTGCTAGCAATTCATCTGCATATATGCATATTTACATATTTGAAAATTCCAACTGTGGTAATTTTGATCTTATCTTTATAGAAAAACATTTCGGAGCTAATCTATTTGTGATTCAATGAGATTTCCAAAAAGTACGGGAAATAACTCTTATCGTGCCAATGATATAAGGAAAATCGGCAGTTATCTAACGCTTTTCCTTATTTTATGGTCTCCCTCCCTTTACTCTTCTTCTCGGTAATAAGCAGGGCCTTTTCTCCTTGCAGCCAGCAACAGAACGCAATACCGCCACCTGTTTCACTTATATTTTTTATATTTTTTTTACTCAGTACCAGCACCAGGGTCGTCTTAATAGCAATACGGCCCTACGATAAACTAGTGTGCTGGCATTCCCAAGACAACGACTCAAAGAAATTAAATGTCAATGGTCGGTAATAACAAATGTATATTTTTTTTTTTATACTGGCATTCAAATAAAACTGGTGTTAAAGCATGCACATAGAATACGTGACACAATATGAAACCATTAAGAACTTATTATCATATCAGCCATTTGACTCATTTCTTTTCAAAGAATTGCTTTATTATTAGGTTGAAGTAAGCAGTCTTGATGATGTTCATTTTCTATGTACACGAGTGAAAACCGGTTGAAATGATGCTGCCCCATTTTTGCAGTGAATTACATTCTGCATGAGGACTTCTGTTTTGTAAATTGGGGTGTTCCGCAATGCCGGTGATATCTAGCACGACACCCACTAGAGAGTGCTGCAACCTATGTCACGGGCATTCTCTTTCTCGGAATGAAAACGTGAATGCAAGTCATCGCAGAAACCTAACAAGAGAGCGGGACACACCTGTAACCTTCAGGAAAGTCGACCAGCCCAACAAACTTGTGAATGAAAAATGACCTACTCTATTTGGGGAGACTTACGTCGAACTAACCCAGCGTCTATTTTTATTTTATTTTTGTAGGTTAGTTTTGATATCTCTCGGATTGTTCTGTTTCCTTTTCATAGTCTGCTTTTGTGTGCGCTTTTCCAATCCATGATACTATGTGTTTTTCGTGGGAGCAGCGTGTATTGTGGTTGTGCTATGTCGGGGCAGGTAAATGACCGATAGTTTTGGCAGCCTCGACCACGCTACCTTGGCAATGATTTGATCGTGGCAACACACTTATCCTTCCCCTCAAACCATTAGGAGCTCCACCACTATAAATCTGTTAGGGACTGCACCCCCAATCTTTTAGCATTGGCTCCACCACCCATAATCTTTTAGGGGCTGCACCCCAGATATTTTAGGGGCTCTACCGCCCAGTCTTTAAGGGGCTCCAGTTCTAATCTTTTAAAGACTTCACCCCTCCCTCCAAAGCATTTAGGGACTCCACCGTCCAGTCTTTTAGGGTCGGCACCCCCAATCTTTTAAGGGCTCAATCGACCAAATTTTTTTGGGGCTCCACCCCAAATCTTATAGGACCCCACCACTCCTAGTCTGTTAGGGCTCTACTTCAATCTTTAGGGACTTCATCCCAATCATTCAGGCCCCCCCCCCATGTATTTATGGGCTTTAACACCCCTTTCCCCAGTTTATAAGGGTGTTAGGTCGCCGTGGGCACCTGTGTCTAAAAGGCCATTAGAGATGTAGACGTAGGCATCGTCCAGAATGAGCCTTGGTCGTGGCGCAGTACCGCTCGTGTTTCAGCATCCCGTCTAAAGGACATTAAAAAAAGGAGATCCAAACTGCAAGCCGATCGAGAAACATTTCGTCACCGGACGAAAAGATACTTTCGCGTACCACGTAAACGGTATTTGTATCCAACTGAACTAGTCATGTAATCAATTTCATTCTGAAGTCTCAATCCCAACCATTGATGTGTTTCAGGCTGCTGTGCAATTTTCTGTACTTCCTGCTTAGAGAGTCAAGTGGTGCGGGACATGGGAGAGTCGTGTCTGGTGCCTTGTTGTGTCCCTGGCTGGCTCGTGACTCTCAGGACAAGAATGAGGACCCTGGAAAATATCCGTGTAAGAATTCTCTCTCTTTTTTTTTTAATTACATATAAATAAAAGAATTCCGTTTAAAAAAAAAAATCAGATTACGACTAATTAGGGATGTTTCCTCCGAAGTTGAAGCGAATCTGTCCGAGAAGCGAGGAATCTACAGTCTGCATACAGATGAGCAGATCTGTAAAATGGGTATGTACCCAAAGAAGTAAAGTCCAGAAGTGGACGAAAAAACAGAAATTTCCGCCCACGTTTACAGCGGGTGAGATTCAAGGATAAACGAAATATCCTGGCTGTGGTATGCAATATTCGGGATATTGCTTACTTGGCAAAGGTATCCAGGGCATGCTTATACTCCTGGAGGTCACATATAGCATATAATTACACACATCGCTGGATAAGCCGTGCTGAGCTGCGGGGGTGCGGACCAGGTAGTTTTGATAATAAACACACACAAGTAAACATAACCAGCTAGCCAGCACTAACCAACGCCCTGTGAAATATAAGCAACCAAACCACACTGACACTGTGGTCAGGTTATCTGAATCTCGTCGTCACGTCTCCCACAAGTACCCTCACAAAACGTCACAAGACACATCCACACGTCCGTCCTACCTCACTGACTAAGAGCTACTGGATCAGACTGCCACGGGGTTTTCCACCAGCGGTTGGTGTCATACGAATCTCACACTTCCCTCGCAATACCCATGGTGACCACAAATTTCTGCGAATTTCAGGCACCGTCTGTTTCACAAACGTTGAATTGCCTGGGTCTTTTACACCTCCTCTTCGTGTGCACTGGCGTTCACGTCGATCTCTATCATTCTTACATATTAATAAGAGTTGGCACAGAAGTTACTAGTAACGAAGTCAGGCCCACAAACAGAGTGACTTCCCTTCCCATTTATACCTCGTAGTGACGCAGGGCGTCTTCTATGTTGAGGGGTGTTTTCTTCAGCGTTCGGTCAGCGCGACGATTCGTGAGTATCGAAACAAGGATGTTTTTGTATTTCTGCGTTCGTTGCTGGCGGAACTCCCTGAAACAGACAACGCACTGACAAGGCACATAGTCACAGATAAACAAAAGTTGTCATACTCCTGAAACGTCGCTCAGCTGGCAAAACGTGGAAAAAATCAGGCAAGTGAGCGGTGACAAAACAAGGACAGAGAGAGGTTTTAAAGCGTTGACAATAAGGAATACCTGACACCCCTGCCACATAGAAGACGCCCTGTGTCACAACGAGGCATCAATGGAAGGGAAGTCACTCTGCTTATTTGCATGACTTCGTTATTTGTTCCGCACAGAACTTAGATTTAAATGTAAAAATTATGTATTTTCATGTTCTATAGCTCTGGCTTATGGCGTCAGTTTCGTAAAGGAAAATATAGTAGAGATATCTTAGGCTGGTATGGAGAATGTAGCCTGAATGGGAATGCACAGCGAGATGGCTCTTTTTTTATGGTACGGAAGGATATCAGCATGTGAACTGATACTTGCTACTGGAGATCAAAAGATAGAGAGAACGATGCTTGCAAACGCCAACCGGCAAGACAATTGATGATTTGAGATTTCTTTCTCTTCTTTACATTATTTGATAGTTTGTCGTCATGTTTTAAATAACTGGTTCTGACCATGTTGTGTTGCTTTAATCCGTTAGTCCTTTCAGTCGTGTTAGTGTAGTGCCTGGGTTATTATGGTTATTTCACCTTTTAAATATCTATTGGTCGGTGCAAATATAAAACTATGTATGTATACAGGTATCCTCCAGGCAGAGTGGCAAGCATCTCTGAGAGGTCCCGATTAGATACTTTTCTTCTCATATTTTCCCCAAGTAATGGAGGTGTGTTGGGAAACGAACAGGCAGAGATAATGGCTACTTCTGCACCTTTTCGTGATGAATACATTTATGATAAGCTAGATATTGTAGAGGTCCTTTTGGGGCGAGTGAATAGTGCAGAGACACAAATAGGTCATACAACTAGATTTCTGGATCAACCCCTGGTTCAACAGAAAAAAGGGTGCCGGTACTTACAAAAAATAGTCTAAAAAGAGGTGCAGTACTCACCATAATTTGTCTATCACACTAACGCTGAAACAAATGATGCCCACACAAAGTAGAGATTATTCTGTACTGCAAAAAGCCCTGCTCATTTGTATAAAATTGCTATATTGTTATGCGATGTTAGGTTTCGATATTTGTAGAGTTTCATATATATATATATATATGATTATCATCATCATAACATAACATGGCCGAAAAATGATGACTGTCTTCTTTTGATGTCTGTGATAAGTCGTCTTCGAGCGCCCGCCTCTTTCAAAACCTCTTGGTTGCTTTTTTTTGGCTGTCCAAGGTATTCTAAGCATTCTTCTGTAAAACCACATCTATGAGGCCTCAAGAAATTGTTTGGCCTGCCTACCGATTGTCCAGGATTCACAGCCATATGTTAAAACTGGATGTATGAAGCAAGCAGGAATTCGTTTTCTAACTCTCAATGACAAGGATATATTGCACAAGATATTCTTCATTAAAAAAAAAAAATGCAGTTTGTGCCTGTCCTTTTCTGTTTCTTATCTCAGTTTTGCATCTTCCATCTGATTTTTTCCTTGTGCTTACTTACATTTCTGTACTTGTCCTAAAAAAACACCATCGACTCTTATTACACATTTAGGAACAATTCGTTTCTTTCAAACCACCATTACTTCTGTCTTCCCATTATTCAAACTGAGGCCCATTCTTCCACTTTCTAACATCACAATGTCTATTATTTCCTGTAGTTCTTTCTGACATGTTGCTATCAAGACTGTGTCATCATTCAGTTTTTATATATATATATATAACTTGGCTTTCTAAAAGCATAAGATAGTTTTGTTACTCTTAGGGCAGCGTGATGGATGACTGCTGCAAGGTCTATTGCTGCTACCTGTGTGCATTGTGCCAACTGGCATACGAGACTAAAGTGGTCAGACAACGTGTGCTGGCAGTTGCAACAGTGTCCAGGCCAGTCTGAGTGTCACTCCCGGGGCATAGTCTTCTTCACTGGAAACATTCCAGAACCTGGCATAGATTTATTTACTCTTTTCATTGTTCTCTAAAGATCATTCTCATCACCCACCCAGCATAATCGCAAATGCTCCCATCTGCTCTTGAGTATGTCTGTAAGTGTAGTTATGCTTTAAACTCCCATTCTGTTCCTTTTTGTGTTACGAGAGCTTGTTGGTCCAGCATGTTTTAGTCTACATGTTTTAAATACAGAAGTATTTGCGAAATGAAGAAAGTATTGTTTGTAAATAACATGTGTATTTTAACTATATATATATATATATGATTAACCCTATTACATGTCTTTAGGCAGCTTATTTGGTTATTTAGTATACAGTGTTAGATATTTTATTGATAGACCAGCGTATGGGAAGAAGTATGGGAAGAAGTATGGGAAGAAGTATGGGAAGAAGTATGGGAAGAAGTATGGGAAGAAGTATGGGAAGAAGTATGGGAAGAAGTATGGGAAGAAGTATGGGAAGAAGTATGGGAAGAAGTATGGGAAGAAGTATGGGAAGAAGTATGGAGAGCAGATATCGTCAATGCTGTAAGGACTGGGCTAGCGGATAGTGAGGAATTCCTGACACTAACACGATTGCGTGAAATGAGAGTAAAGCATGGTAAAGCACGTCTTACGTCGTCTTTAAACCCGAGATAGGAGACAATATAACTTGCTTTTAATGGGAATAATTAGTAGAAGTACCGTGGAGTGGTTGCTGCATCGGAGGACTGACCACGGATGGGAATGCCCAATGTTCAGTGACGTCGATTGTGGTAATATAACATAATATGTTATAGACTAATTGTAAGTCGGTGGTTGGTATGGTCAACATCACGCCGGCCACATTTATTTTCCGTTACTTTACCTGGTACCCATTTTAGGCTGGCTAGACCTGGGAAACAAGGTCAACTTTAGGATGAAAATCCTCTCAGTGTGTATTCGAACTCACTACCTTCGGCCGGCCGTCTAACCACTACCAATTTCATAGTGCGTTCCAAAAATTGTGCCCTCAAATTTCAACAAATATCACCAAAACTCCTAAACGAATCAAGACGAATGTTTTTTGCGCGCGACCGTTCATTTCCCATGTCCTTATGATTGTATAATTTATAAATGCATAAGTGCTGTCGTTTTTTTTTTTTAATAAGCGGTGAATGTCTTTGTTTGGCCAATAATTTATGTATCCCTAACAAATATAGTAGTCATGAACTGACACATGCGTTGAGACTGAAAATCAGTTCACATGTGCGCTATGCATAGTGATTTTTTGTCAGCCTAATCCGCATGCGAGAAAAAAAAAAACTATTTTTCTAACGCACGAAAGGCTAATGCTGGAGATGATCACTTGAGGGTGAAAGGGCAATAAAAACTAGATCCTTGTTTATATTTAAAAAAAAAAAAAAAAAAAAAAAAAAAAAAAAAAAAAAAAATTCAAACAGAAGCGATTATGAAGCTTACATAGAATGTTTACTGAGTTGCAGATATTTTAAGTTTTGCACGATTTTTTTAAAATGAACTATATCACAAGAAGAGTAGCAGATATGTGTTTTTAATGAACTTCAATCAAATGTAAACACTCCATTTAAATCGTTGAACTGTCAAAAAATTGCTAGTTCAACGTTTGTCTCCCCATTTACTCACCCTTACACACTTGAGCCACCCTATTTTGCGACATAGTGACTGGGGTTTTCCACAATAACGTTGATATCGAGTTTTCTACATTTCAACACGACAGCGCTTTTTAACACTCCAGAAACATGGACACATTAGGTCTAACAATCCTTGTAGAAAGTGCTGAAATCTATGCCACAGGTATTCTCTTTCTCAGAATGAAAACGTTAATGCAAGACGACAAGGAAACCAAACAAGAGAGCGGGACACACCCGTAACTTCAACAAAAGTGGACCAGCCCAACAAAGTTGTCAATGAAAACTGACCTATTTTGTTTGGGGAAACTAAGGTCGAACTATAGATATATATATATATTGTCAACTAATGAATGTTGGCCCCTAAAAAAGTTAGAAATAAAACCACAAGAACTATGTTTTCAACGCAATAGTTAAACCAGCGTGAGTCGATTTAACAAGAACCGGAGACAGCAGCAACCAACAGCAAGAGCAAACCTCAGAAACGTTTACAGTAACACAAGGGAATTAGTAAGCATATATATATATATATATATATATATATATATATATATATATATATATATATATATATATATATTAAGTCAACTGGATCAGTCAAAAACAGTCAAGAAAAGATACTCACCAACACTAAAGATCACACGGACAGATGGGCTGAGTATTTGAAAAGACTTCTAAACAGACCAGCCCCAGAGGTTTCTCCAGATATCTAGTCTTTAGAAATAGAACTGGATGTCTGTTGTGAGATACCATCTAAAGAGGAAATTAGAAAGGCCATCAATCTTCTGAAGGAAGGAAGGGTAGCAGGTCCAAGTGGTATCCCAGTGTAAAGCCCGACTGAAAAATGCAACTGATAAAAGATTAAGAATTCAGGTCTTTTGTTTTCTAACGTACAGACACTCCCGCCCCCACAAACACTCTCTCACACATACACATTTTTTTTTTAAAGTACTCTAAATGTTACTGTACAAGAAACTCTGTGATGAGCTTTTTATTCTCTTTATGTTCAACGCCGGCACCTTTTCTTTTCTTGTGAATATTATATAATTCAAGTAGGGTCGGCTTCGTAATGCCGAGATACCGGGCAAGCTACTGGACTTAAATTTGCCTAGAAAAACCACACAACAGCCAGGGGCTGTTGAAGTTGGTTCTGCAACGTCCTGTAAAGGATACGCAGCTAACTAACCTAGAGTTCAACGTGAGTCATTTAGTATTGAGTGAGTTAAGAACATATCCACGACAAATAGGTCACCGAATTGCTGCAGAGAGTAGGGCGCGCTGACCCCAAAAGGTCCGTGGAAGATGTGTAGGCGAAATTGAAACTGAAACACACAAAAAGCACACGGCGGGAACATTGTGGTAAGTGCGGACATTGTCGCCTGCAACACGTTGGTTATAATTAACAGTTGACAAAGTTGTGTGTGTGCACATCTGCTTCTAGTATAAATACAGACTTCATAGGTAAGTATTTAATTTGTGGTTTTGTAAGTTCATTGTATTTGCTGTTTATTTTTATCAATTTTAGGATGTTATTGTTCATTTTAAAGATCATCGCACATCGAATATGACGATAAGTGCTCCAGTCTCCTCCTGAGTATGTCTCCAAGTGTTTTTCAGCTAACACCCCAGTTCTGTTTTGCTTGATGAGATGTAACGACTGTTGGCTCCAGGGATGCCAATGGGATTTGTGTGTGTGAAAAACCCAGCTTAGCTGAACAAAAACCCAAGCAATACATAGACACAGAACAACAACAACTGAAAACCCAGATTGTTAAAATGTACAAAATTTATATTTACGAAACGAAACATTTACCACTTATATATATATATATATATATATATATATATATATATATATATATATAAAACTATATATTCCTTATATATATATATATAAAACCCAGATCTATATATATATAAAAAAACCAGCATTCCTTAGCTGTCATATAAAAACCTGTGATCTGGGCAGAAACCCAGACATTGGTAGGTCAAGTAAGCCTGTGGCCTTGACAGATGACCTGACCATGCAGGTCAAGTAAGCCTGTGGCCTTGACAGATGACCTGACCATGCAGGTCAAGTAAGCCTGTGGCCTTGACAGATGACCTGACCATGCAGGTCAAGTAAGCCTGTGGCCTTTATCAGGATTAAAGTCGACCATGCAGGTCAAGTAAGCCTGTGGCCTTGACATGTAGACAACAGATCAAATGGTTTGGCCATGTAACGATATTGCAACAGACAGGGCACCACTAAGAGAAATGTTAGTCAGATGCAGTGGTAACAGAGCTAGAGGTTGACCGCTCAGTATATGAACAGCATAAATATCAGATACCCTGAAGAGTATTGGGTTCTTGTTCTTTTAATCCCCCAAGTTATAGGTCACGGGACAGTCTTATGTCTCAGGGGTGCTTTAAAATAGGTCAATTGTTGTGCAGTTTTGTGTGTGCTTGGTGATCATTTCGGGGTGTGCATTTGGAAGAATGAAGTTATTTGCAGTTGTGGGTGGTGTCTATTTGTTTTTGGGTTTTTCCCTGTGCAAACGGGAGAATGACGTTGGTGGTTTTATTTGTTTTTAATTTACACTTACAATATTTTCGAAATCGACACAAAACGGTCTGCTGCCACTTCGCATGCAGCAGCTGAACTGAAACCGAAAGCCAGTTTATAGGAAATTTCGAAATTATGAAACTGAGCTCACAACCCCTGACGCCCCTGGTGACGACAGAGATGGTCGTTTGCTTGGCATCAGATGACGGCCCACAACTGCAAATAACTTCATCCTCCCAAATTCACACTCACAAATGCACACCAAAACATGCACACACAAAACTGCACGACAATTGACCACAGCTTGAAATTGGTAACGATCTCTCCACCAATTTTTGAACACCCCTGAGATATTAGACTATCCCGTGACCTTTGAGTTGGGAGGATAAACAAAAACAAAAAACAAGAAGCAAGTACTATACTTGAAGCAAATAGAAGGGTCAGTTTCAAAGATCTCTTCCTGCCTTGACGCAGCGAGGCATTCGAGGAGTAGAGATTTCACTACCTAGCAATGCGGGAACAAAGACACTGCATTCAGCGGAATGCCCTGCGGTAATATAGCGTCAGCCAGATGTCACATGCTTGCATGAAGCAGAGGCCTGTGTGTTTAGTTACACGCTGTATCAAATTAGACACACACGCCAGACATAGTACAGTCATATAGCAAACACATGAACCGGACATGAACAGTCTTATAGCTAACACAGCATTAGACTTTATATTCTGAGAACTCACTTAACACTTTACATCAAATTATAACTATGAGTGACGGTTTCACTGGATGCAGTTTCCCCATTTCGTTACGTCAAACTTCACCAGCAATCACCTGTCGTGTGCGTTGAGGAAAGGAAAAGTGTGCTAAGTGATGCATAAAATATGTATTTGGGAGCTGTTGGTACAGTGCGTCCCTTTATGGAACATGTATTGTTGTATGCAACAGGTAATGGAGGGAAAGTTTTTTTAAACGTAGCTGAGGCAGACCTCATCGAATATGGATACAAGAAGTTGAAAGACTTTGGCTAGAAACCACATAGGGCTGGATAATTGACTGGAGACAGAGGTACTTTCAGGTGTGCTGTGAAGAGAGCGACGTTCTTCTAAGGACTTGTTTGAACATGGTGATTTGTTCTATGCAGGTGAAAAACGAACATCAAGCATACAAGCTGAAAATCTTTAAATCATGAGGACACAAACAGTACAGTGTTCAATTGATTGCCAGACATGTATCACTGTATCTCGTCTGATGTCCTACTACAGAGTTATATCAACGTAAAATGAAGCACAAAAACTTAATGAGTTTCAACGAGATACTTTCCCCGTGTGGGTTCCGATGCCCCATTAGGAAAAAAAAAAAA